TGTGGTGTTGAACCGCCGAGTCTGCCGCTGCTGCTGCTGCTTTCCTCTCTTCCCACGAACACGACGATGATGGTGGCGGGACAGAGAGGACAGGACAGACCCGTCACAGACCCCGGGTCCGGGTTCTCGTTCCACCCGAGCCTCCTCTACCTTTCCTCTTCTCCATCCATCCAGCCAGCCAGCAGCAGCCAGTTTGTAGTCAGTCAGACGGACAAAGCAGCAACGAAACTCCGCTTGCGTCAGTCACTCAGTCTTCGGCCGACGTCCGAACAGAAAGCACCGCCGTCGTCGCCGGTCCGCGATCTCTTCTCCGTCGCACCACGAAATTCGCGTTTCGGATCCTCAAGAAAGTGAACGTTCGACACCCGCGTGCAATATGTGTGCCTCCATTGGATTTAACTTCAGGTCCTGAACCTCTTGGACAGCATCATCTACAACAACACTCGTTAACCACGACAATCGAACTAGGAATTTACCAAACGAAATGTAAGATTTATCGCAACAGAAAAATCAACTGATTCTTCGGACGCATACAGAGAAAACTCGTTTCGTTTTTTTTATAACGCACAAATTAATTTAAACGTTATTTAGATTTACGTTTTCGTCCTGACCTCTAAAATGAGAAAGAGAGAGATATACACATACACATTCTAATCCGGAAACCGATTTTCGACCTCAAACTTCATCATCATAATCACCATTAAAACAAAACAAAAACTAGTTCAATATCTCACCTTTTCCAGTATTCCTTGTAACCCACTTGTTAATACTCAATATTATAATAATTGCGTAATTGAATGCTCCCAATTAACGCGATTACATCGAGATCGAATCTGCGAATGAAAATACAGCGCAAGAAATTGAAATATAATTAGACAAATTCTATTCCGCAATTAGATTCCGTTTAACTTACTCTATATTTTTTTTTGACATTGCGTAACGTCTAATTAATGCAATTTGGTGCAAAACTTTCGGTTTTGCTCTCGTAATTTGCCGCGCAACTATTTCGGTTATGCAAAAGTCTTACGTTCGAATATTCATTATAATTTGAGAAGTTGAAGCTTTGTCGTTTTTATTCTCCTGCGACCAGTCCTATTAGGTAGTCGAGGTGCCTTTTTTACACCTTCATTATTATCCAGTCCTTTCTTACCTTTTTTTTTTCTTCTTCGGTTTTAATTTCTTCCTTCGGACACGCCAAACCAATTTACCACTCGATCCTTCGGTTCTTCACCTTCGGTTTTTCTTTTTTTCGTGTGTGTTAACATTTCTTTCGTCGGTCAATTTCTGCGAAAAAGAAATTTCAATTCCCAACATTACTTCGTCAGTTTACTAAATTATGTTGTAAACTCTATACAAATTTCTATAAATAACTCAAATTATTACGTTTATCTCGATTTTTAAGTTTCAAATTTGTGTAAAAACCCAAGAAAATGTATTATGATTATTTGTAACTTTAAGGAGTAACAAAAAAAAACTTGTATTCTACACGAATTCCAAGAATATTCCGTCAAGCTTCAACGATTCCATAAATTCCACAATCTTTAATAGTTTAGACGAAAAACAAAATTATAGTTTTTAACTTAATCATTGTATGAAGAGACGATGAAAATCTAAACCTTGTTCCCGCTCCATCGAGCCCACAATTGATAATTGAAATCCGAATGTGAGACTCATAGAAATTCTTATTCTTTGCTTTCGTTTGCTCTAAAAAGATCAATTATATTCGACGCGTTAACGCAGACGTAATCTCTAATTAAATTAATTATCTTTAATGAATGAACGCACGCATTTACGTAAGGCTTATATTTAACTACTTACCGAATATTAAATCACCAGCGACGATAATAAACGTTCACCAAATTCAAAATAAATGTCAAAAAAAAATGGAATCAAAGCAAACTTCACATGACGATGCTGCCAAAGTAAATATTTAAATTAACAAAAAAAAAAACTATTATTAAGCTCCGCCCTATGCGTTTCTAAGCGAATGAAGCTATTCCAATTGGAAAAACACCATATTTAATCATGGTGCCAACCCCAAAAATATGTATTTCCCAACAAAAATACTAATTTTTTACCATATTTTTAGACAACACACAATACAATCAAACCAAATTAGTTTTATATATATAAAAATTTAACGAATGAACATTACATTTAATCCTTTATTCGACGCGTTAACGCAGACGTAATCTCTAATTTAAATTAATTATCTTTAATGAATGAACGCACGCATTTACGTAAGACTTATATTTAACTACTTACCGAATATTAAATCACCAGCGACGATAATAAACGTTCACCAAATTCAAAATAAATGTCAAAAAAAAATTTGAATTAAAGCAAACTTCACATGACGATGCTGCCAAAGTAAATATTTAAATTAACAAAAAAAACTATTATTAAGCTCCGCCCTATGCGTTTCTAAGCGAATGCGCTATTCCAATTGGAAAAACAACATATTTAATCTTGGTGCCAACCCCAAAAATATGTATTTCCCAACAAAAATACTAAATTTTTACCAATTTTTAGACAACACACAATACAATCAAAACGAATTAGTTTTATATATAAATAAATTTAACGAATGAACATTATATAAAAGGATTAAAATGCATGCACACGAAACAGCATTTTCTGCACTTTTCCAACGTTTCACGCTCTATTAATGGCAGCGAAATATGTTCGAACGAACGCAAGAGGAGGCGAAACGGTCGCCGTTTCGTGCATCATTATAATTTCGCACATGGTTTAACTCGATAAAAGTTAAACAAATAATGGGAAAGGAAAAACAATACAAGTTGATATTTCCTATCTGTTGATAGTTTATTAACTCGAACAAGTTTTGAATCACTGTTTGTTTTCGCGGAAAACACTTGTTTTACATCGTGAATCACGCTTTGCATTTTATTCGACGAAAGCGATTTTAATCTTTACCGCATATGTTTTTCTTTTTAATGTTATCATTTGTTCCTTGACTTCTTCTCTGGGTGAAATATTCCCGCTTTAAATTCGTGGAGGGAAGGTCACCAGATCCTTGGGAATTTCGGCCTCGCATGTTGACTGTAATACGTCACGTTCGAACAAACGCGTTTACTTACTGTAGTTGCGAATGTGTACAGTTTTCTATCGAGAAATTTCAGGACGTGCCCGGCATCCGCAAGTCGGCCTTCTTCTGTTCTCGTTGCTTGCTTGCTCCTCGTTACGTACTTACTTAGAAAAGAAGTTCGCGACGCGTAACAAATAACAACGAAAAATGTATAATATTTATTATATTTCTAATTATTAGTTGGTAATTACGGAAGAGTGTGAGCGAAACGAGAGAAAATAAAAGAAGAAAACGTTTGTATGCCAAGGCTACGTGATTGATGCAGAGAAAAGCGAAACAAAAGAAAATCAAAAGCATTTGACATTTCCGAGTGGAGACGACTACGAATTTCGATTCGCCAATCAACTTTCTAATTGCTGTTACCACAGTCTCATCCCAATTTAAGTAAACGCAATTCTGACTAATTCCATTGTTGAATGTAGATGGCGTATCAATAATAGTTTGAAAAAACATTTAAAATGTTTTAATTGATTTACGAAAATTTAACGTTTATCAAATTAGACGTTGAAATGCGGAACATAGATGGCGTGTATGTATAATTAGCATTTTTTCTTTGGTATTTGTGTGAACCCTCATAATCTTTGCTCCAGTTTCACTCCACCATCGTGTAATTGCTGACTAATCAAAGAAGCTTCTGGAAAATTGAACCCAATTTAAAACTAAATAATAATGTTATAAAAGGGAGTCGTATCGTTTGTTGTTGTTGTTATCATCATCTTCGGTCGGAATGACGAAAGACGTTAACCAGCTGAGAGCAAGTGAAAACCGGATGCTGCCGCCACCGCTCAATGTAAAACAGGCGCTCTCGTTTCGCCCTCGCTCACTTACTACTCTCCAACATATTATCAATCATTCACATCGCGAATACAAACTCGCTTTCGACCCAGACGGGCACCCCAAACAAACATAAAGACATGCATACATCATCTGTCACCTGTCACTCCAAATATGACAGATTTCATTAGCGCAAAAACAATGCACTTTTTTATATGTCATATACGATGCGCGTCACATCTTAGACGGCGTTAAGTTGCTACATGACAGCTGTCACAAATCGCAGTGCAACTGCGTTAGGAAACGCTGATTTTTACACACTATGCAAACAACGAAACGTCAAATTTCTATTGCTGACAACAATGCGGACGCTTCTGGTGACATACTTGCCTCTATTCCAGAAATAGATCGAATCGCTTATGCAAACATTGCTCATTTTTTTTGTTGTTGTTGTTGCTGTTGTTTCTCTTACGTTACGTTACGTTTACGAACTTTTTTTTGTTGTTGTTGCTTCTACCTTGAACGGCAGCTATTCGATACGAATGGCAAAGAGGTGATTTGCAAAAGAGCCTCTCGGATTTCGTCAAGAAACTGGAGACGCACGCTTATCGTTTTACCATTATTTTTTTACACAGAGTTGCGAAAGGTTTCGCGTCGATTATGAGATTTTATACTCTTTTTTTTTTGTTGTCTGTATATATTCGTTTGTCTAGTCGCGTTACATAAACGCGTTGCGGAGCGGAGCTAATTTCCCGAAAAGGCATTCGAAATGATTACGCAAACGGCGAACGAACTAGGCCAATCGAATTCGATTCCTGCATATCGGAGAGACTCTTCTATTTATTTATTTATTTTTTTTTTTGAAGATCGCCGCTCCCGTTCACTCACGGATTATTCCGTTAGTTTTATGGTTATTTCGTTTTGTTCGATGCATTTAAATTAAGGTTGCAGAATACAAAAACTCTTGCGTCTCGCAATGAAAGTAAAAGTTTTTTTTTTACCTATTTTATATTTTTATGTGATGACTCAATCGACGCTCAACGCTTTGCATGCATACCAAATTCGGTGACACACACGAAACAAACCCGAAATGTCAAAGGCGGCTACCCATGTCAACGGTGACAGCAAATGTCACATTGAAGTTTATGTCAAATGTCAAACGACTTAATTAACTCTTTTCGAAATTCAAGTCAACTTAACTAAGTACATAAAAGAGTTTATGAAATAGGGGTGTGTTTGTGTGTGTATATAATTTGTGAGTTTCACTCGAGATTGATAGCTGTTATTATCGGATGGTGTTTTCGTGTTAACACGCGTTTTTCCTTCGTGAAATTTCCGGCTGTAAAAGGCGTTTTGGAAAGTTTAGAAATTGCGCGGCCTTAAGTTGCCCGCGGAACGCGGAGAGTTCCATTCTCGGAAACGGAAAGAATGAAAAAAGAAAAAGAAAAATGAGAGAAGAAACACACAAAAAAAACACGATCACGAAGAGGTGAGATGGGGTACGAAGAAGCGTTTCGTTTGAAAATCTCGAGAATTTCACTGTTTCCTCTCAAACGTCTCTTATTGGCACGCCACCTTCGTTTCGTTTTTTTGACATCTCGTATGTCAATTTGACATTTAGAAATACGCGCCATCTATACAAACAAATGAATGAAAAATGACTGTCGACCGATTGTTTCTATAGTTTGCTATAATTTTTTGTTTTTGGTTCAGGGTTGCGTGCGCGCGGGGTTGTTAGGAAATTGTATAAATGTAATTGGTCGAGAGAGGAAGATCGAGCTGAGTTAACGACGACGACGATGATGGTTTTGCTTTCCAAACACAAGAACCGGAGCGACCCAAGGCCGGCCAGAATTCATAATTTATAATAACCGCGTTTAAATTTCGAGTGAAACAGAGAGAGAGAGAGAGAGAAATAAAAAAAATAAAGATTGAAATATTGCGGAGAGTAAAGGTGAGACGACGAAGGGAAAAAAAATAATGTGCCCGAAGCCCAGAGCGAGCAACGAGCACCGGAGAGAACGAAAGTAAGAAAAATAAATCTCTGGACAGGAAATTGAAAGTTATTATTATCGCGGTGGCATTATTAATGCGCCTAGTTTGTAGTGCATGCATTCATACTTCTTTTCTATTTCTATATTTTTTTTGTTTGTTGTCGATTCGTTGGTATTTCTCGGGAAATTAATAATTCAATATTATTTAAAAATAAACATTATTTGCACTTTCTAATGTTCGCAAAATCCTCTGCAAAATCCTCCTGCATTCGCTTTCACTCGACTCCCACAGGAATCGAGAAACCCACGCGCACACAATTTTTCGGATAAACGACCCCTCGTGGGTACACCACACCTCCGTCTTTTACCAAATTGGCAATGATTCTTGTCCTTTCGGACAATTTCGCGTCACATACTATTTATAGAAGAGTGGCTGCTCTAATGCGAGAGTCTCGGAACATCTCTTCCGACACGCTCTGAATGCACGAACCAAACAAACGAAATGCTTATGTAACAGCGCAGTAAACATGCCGGACGTCAAATTTCGCAAAACATCTCTTTTGACAGTTCTTAGATTAATCGCACTGCTTTGTTTTTGTTTCATATTAATTTGTAGTCGAAAATTCAAAATGGCAGCTAATCCCAAAACCAGCTGATTACTAAATTATGACATTTAGAGTTAGGTTTGACATTTATCGATCTGAACGTCAAAGTCAAAAGTAAGACTATTTGAATTTATTAAGTTGCTTGATTAACCAAAACTACATGACTGAATCTACGTACACAAACCAAACAAACGAAATGCTTATGTAACAGCGCAGTAAACATTCCGGACGTCAAATTCCGCAAAACATCTCTTTTGACAGTTCTTAGATTAATCGCACTGCTTTGTTTTTGTTTCATATTCATTTGTAGTCGAAAATTCAAAATGGCAGCTAATCTTAAACCAGCTGATTACGAAATTGTGACATTTAGGGTTAGTTTTGACATTCATCGATCTGAACGTCAAAGTCAAAACTATTTGAATTGGTTAAGTTGCTTGATTAACCAAAACTACATTACTAAATCTACATGCACAAAGTGTAACCTAATGCGAATAATAAATGCAACTTTGCAAGGACAAAATCACCGTATTTGCATACGGTCCATATTCATATAAGCTTTTCTTCCTTTCCTTTATCTCTCTCTCCGTCTCCGTCTCTCCGGCAGCCGCATTCGGCGCGGAATTCGAACAAAGTGCGCGACTCGCCTCGGATTAATTATAATCCTTGTTTGACTTCAAACTTCTTATTATTATTATCTTTTTCCTTTCTTCGTCCTCCTCCTCACTAGTTGTTTCAATTCCAATTGGCCATTGCACAACAGTTAATCACGCACACCGGCGCACACACACGCAAAGCGATCGCGCGTGATTCGACCCGGAAATTTCGTAAACGGTAGAAACAATTTACGAATAGTAAATGAAATAAAAAATAAATAAATAAATAAATATAACGCCACTAGAGGCGTCCGTTAGTTCTTCTAACGTCATCGAGGTTATAATGTAAATGACATCTGTCATCTGGCAATGATGATTTTTTTTTGTCCATCCAATTCGCACGTCTCCTAAACATCATCTACAACGTAATTGTTTTACGATTACATTCTTGTAATTCTGACTAACGTAAATCTGCTTTGGAATTCTTAATTTAACTGTTGTTCAAATTAATTAATTTCGTTGACCTTCCGTGCATCATATTCGTAAAGAGGTTTCGCGTAAGAACGTCATCCGTGTATTTATGTAGATGACATCTGTTTTAAGTGTAAGATTCAGTTATTATTATTATCAACAAGCTTTGATAGAGACAGTAATGAGGTTACCAATTTCGCGTTGGTGAACTCATAAATAATGGCGATTAAATTTTATTTCGATCTGTCACATTGTGATGGTTGGGTTGGCTTCGTGACCTTGTTTGAACAATTCAGGTTAGATAGATATGATGTTTGGGATCTCCGGAACAATAAGTTTGACTATATTCGTGTTATATGAAATTGATCATATTGTTTACTCCCACACCTAATCAAATTCGAAATTAACTGATTGTTTCATTGTGATTATAATAATAGGTTAGGTAACTGTCAATTAATGACAGTTATTTTGACTAATGGTTTTGTTTTGTTATCGAATAATTTATTTTGATTGGAGTTGAGCTATCAGAGTGTGTGTCTTTTTTTATATTAAATTTCCAATGATGTTTGTGGAAATGAGCTTTCCACTTTTGACATTTATCTAACCTAGATCTGTCAAAGAGCGGCGTTGGCGTAAAAGTGCGGTATCGGATCGCGGCGAGCTGAGTAAGTGGCGTTGCCGGTCGATTGGGTCTCTCTCTCTCTCACTCTCTTTCTCTTCGCCTCATGACCTATACAACCGCGATCCGAGTTGAACCCGCTCCGTTCCGCTCAATTCCGCAGAACATTTCCAACGCACGGTTAGATCTTTATATATTTACGTCTTTTTTTCGTTGTTGAATGGAAAGGGTTAGGCGAACAACGCCATCTGTGTCCGATTTGCGGCGAAACCGGTTTTCTCTCTGGTCCGACGATGATGATGATGATGTTGATTGGTGTTGATGATATTGATGTGTATTTGATTTTGAAGATGAGGATTAAGCATTACCCCGGAAAGGCCGTGCAGAACGATGATCCGGCCTGGCTGGAGATGGACGTGCCTACGAGCACCAGGGACAGACTGTACGAGGCCAACTGGAATGAAGCGGGGAATTCGGCGCCGCAGGCACCGGGAAGCGTTAAGGCCGCCTCCAAGCTGGGCCAGTACCAGACCTTGCTGGAGGAGATGACCGGACAGCCATCGTCAGACCGACTAGAAATCTCGAAGAACGGAAGCGTGCGAGGCGGCGCCAAGTATCATTCCGATCGTTGTCTGGCGCGCATCAACTCCAAGACGCGGCACGACTTCCAGGAGGGAGTGCACGCCCTGTTCCAGCCTAGATTCAAGATCGGCAGGAACGTGGTGATCACGCAAGAGCACGCGAAGAAGTCGGTGCGATTCAACGACAAGAGCGTGGAGATCGGAGATCCGCCTCCGTGGCTCGACGAGCCCGAGGATCCGGAGAGGATCAGCCAGTGGATCGACGAGCAGAACGAGTACATCCTGAGCTCCACCAGGCTGACGCGCAACGACAGCGGTTACTACGAGCACAGCAAAAAGATCAGGCAGCGACTTCCGCCGAAGAACATCTGCCGCAGTTCTCCAGATCTGTCAGCGTCCGGTAGTCTGGACTCGCTGGAAGAGTTCCAGAATCGCAAGAGCGACTCCTTCACCTCCAACTCGAGCTACAACGATGACGACCAACGGCACGGTTTCGATCTGTACAAGAACGGTCGCACCAGCCCCATAAAGAACAAGGCGGCCGTCAAGGGCGACGACTTCCTCATACCCAGACCGAAGCTCGTCGTCCCCGTGCACTCGTACGGCGTGCGAAAACGCAGGACGGGCAACCTGACAAACGCCCAAAGTGATAATTGTGATAGCATTTGTGATAACTCGATTTCTGGTAAGTTCACAGGTAACTCGAAAATTCGTATGTTTCATGTTGTAATGACAGCTGTCAGCTTAGCAATCGGGTCACGGCGAGGTCGAGAAACCCTGATATTTGCATGTACATTGCAAAGTAAATTTAATCGTGCGAAATTACACAGTTTACCACAGTTTCATAAATAAATGCGATTGAATCTGTAACGAAAACTTGCGCAAAATAGCAAACGTTTAATCATTTTGAAACGTTGCGAAACAGAAATCGCCTGCTGATTTATCCGTACTGCGTTGCGTTGTGTACCATTCACCACGAGAGAGGTGTTCGAAATAATTGAATTTCGAATTAATATTTAGTGATCGTTGCATCAGTACGAATATTGCATACCGTGCATTCATATTTCTGTTGCGCCATCTACAATTTTATATTGGAAATTCAAATAGCGTAAATATTTATTTGTTAATAAGAAGAAGAAAAAAACATAACATTTAATTTGAAATGTGAATGGGTAATGTTGGTGTTATGGAATGGTGTGTGTATTTGAGAGGCGCCATCTAGGTGTTACCGCTTTCTGTTGGCATTCGGCGAAAAAGAAATGGATTGCAGCAAGTGATGCAATCGGGCGTGCCTCGAAGGCGCGTGCAGGAAATAGAACCGGCCGTGCCCACATCCAGACTTTCTTACCAAACGATGAAGTGTTGTTCCTCTTCGGCGAAGAACGCGTGCTGGCACATGACCAAAGCCTCCACCTCGTTCTTCAGGTGGTCGCGACCAGCAACCTGCGGCATCGCCACGGCCGCCTGCTCGAGACTCTGCTCGCTGTAGTTGTTCTCACCGAGCGTCATCGCGTAGATGCTTTTCATGCCGAAGACGTTGAGGAAGTACCAGGACGCGGACGAGACCCATTCCGCCTCCAGGTCGGATAAGTAGATGTCCTTCTGCAGCATGTGCTTGAAGCGCAGCGTCAACGGGATGGGGATCTTGGTGAGGATGAAACCGGAGAGCTGGTACATCAACCAGCTGCCGATCAGAACCATCGGCAGATAGTTCACCAGGTTCGCCATGAAGGTTTCCCTCAGCGCCGACGAATCCTCGCCGAAGACGTTCGGCAGCTGATGACGATTCGTCTGGTTGGGGACCTCCTGCAGCGTGCCGATGTTCTCGGCGACGAAAGCGTTCCTCCTCGCCTCGAATCCCGCTCTCGGAATGTAACTTCCGTTCCTCCGCGTCAACTCGGCGCGTTGCAGCGATTGCGATTCCCGGATCCTCTCGATCTGCACCGGTCTCTCGTTCCTCAGCAGCACTGTTAAATAGTGACGCAACACTCCCGCCAGATACGTCAAGAGGACGATGGGCAGGAAGACCCACGTGCGGATCTGCGGATCCACTATCAAATCGGTCATTGTCAAAAAAATGACAATAAGCTTGCGTGATTTGCGCAAATTATATATATTTAACACATTGACGACGGCATGACCCACCGGTGGGTCATTAATTATAAATAATAGTTGCTAGTTGCTATGTACGCCACTGATTTTGACTGAGTAATAACCTCAAATATCTTAAGTCAATTACAAACTTCAAACGCAATACATTTCTTATACATATTTTAATAATTCTTGAAGCAATTTAGAACATACGTGATATTGTCATACATTTAACATTTTCAGTATTGAACAATTAGCATATTAGCAATTCAATTGTATAAACTATAGCATTAATCTGCAAGCATATTTGAATTATAAAATTTCAATATTTTTCCCACAATTGTTATAAATTGCTTCAATATCATTAAAAAATGTATAAGAAAATTTAAACGTTTAAAGGTTATAATTGACGTAAGATATTTGACTTTTCACTCAGTCCATAGGCGTCCACGAAAAATTTTCTGGGGGCATAATCGGATAATCCGATTGAAACCGTACTAATGCGGGTCAAGTGTTTAATGCATACTTGATTTGAATGAAAACAAAGTTGTGTTCACTTCAACACAAGCGCGTGCTGTATTATACGAGTCGTTTGTTTTGTCGAAAAAAAAAAACACTGAAAGTCAATTAGCGTTCGAGCGAAAAGACGAGAAAAGAAAGAGCGCGCGCTGGAAACAGCAGATCCAGTTCACCGGATGTCTCTTAATTGCATAACCGCTGCGTTTCCATCGGTGTCGCGATGAGGTGAATACTATATATTGCTTAAACCAGAGGCGTCCAAACTTTTTGCTGCGAGGGCAAAATAATTGTAAATATGTGAATTAAAAAACCTTATTACAAGTAAAGCAGCATTGAATTTTATTTTTTATAGTAAATTACAGATATAACAATACTAAACAAACATGTCTAAATTATATTATTATAAAATTATTTCATGCAATTTTTAATGGGAACGGTGGAACTTTTTTTCCTGGAGAGTTTCTTCAAAGTTGGCATTCAAATCGGAAACACCAATTATTAGCAATGATTGCAAATGATCATCCGATATATTTGCCCTATATTTTACGAAATTGGTTTGGCCCGCGGGCCGTAGTTTGGACACCTCTGGCTTGAACGATTGCTCCGGCTGAATTAGAAGATGAATATACATTATTCTCTCTTCGACGTGTTAAATGCAAATGCTGTCCTGTTGTACGTGCGGTTTCGTAGACCACAAAATCCGCGTTGCATTCGAAATATATTTGAACGAAAGAGACAAAAAAAAAAGTTATGTAAAGTTTTTTTTTAAGTAATTCTAGATGTTATTATTATTTTGTTTGTTTCCTCCGGTGATTTATTACAAAGCGTTTTGAAATTTCCGCGTTCGACGCTCGGCATACTAACTAAACAACTAACTCGCTCCGGCCTCTTTTGTTCGGTTAATCGACGCTCGTTCTCTTACACCGTACGCCCTTTCGGCCTCGAACCCACGCAACTAGAAAGTTCCATTCCGATTATCCAACTTCGTTCCTTCTACATTTGCAAACAATTTCACTTCCCAATTCTTCTGCACTTTCATATAGAAACCTAAAGTTGACAACAGATTTTCTACAAATAAGTTCGAAGATTACGTAACTGAATCAAATTTGAAACTCTTTAAAATCGTATTGCAAATTGAGATTTCTTTATTATTTCTAATTGTTTATTTTTATTTTTGGTGTGTTTTGTAGAGGGTCGCGTGGAAGTGTCTCGAGAGAACAAATATCTGAGCACTTTAGCACCGGGCAAGGTCCTCGGGGAGTTGGCCATCCTCTACAACTGCAAGAGGACGGCCACCATCAAGGCGGCCACCGACTGCAAACTATGGGCCATCGAGAGACCATGCTTCCAGACGATCATGATGAGGACCGGTCTGATCAGACAGGCCGAATACACGGACTTCCTGAAGAGGTAAATTAACACTAAACACACACAAAGTACAATGAAACTCTCTTTCATTGACTGGTAACCTCGAACGCGACGCAGCTCAATATCTTCTTGGTAACTTTGCTCTCGACCACTTGCCGAGCGCGGATTATTCCCGTGGGAAACGCGTACATCGGAATGCTGCTAAAGTCTAACTTCATATTTTTTATTTGATAATTTCCCTAAAAAAAGCAAAAGAAAACAAAAACTTTACTTAGTACGTTAATTTTCTTAAAAACAAAAGGGAACCTTGGGAACGGGACATTGGCCCTTCTGCAAACCCAATTTCGTTAAAATCTGATCGTAGAATACGCCCATGTACTTCTTGTGAAATTTGCAAACGTCGTCTTCGTGCAGAGACATCAGATGGACGAAATTCTTGCCGTTCTTCGAAACGGCCACGTGAAAATCAATCTAAAATTTAAAAAAAATACACGTTTACACCATACTTGGCAAGTATCACTCATTACTGTTGCGTTATAGGCGAATGGAATTGTGTAATTCGCGTTGAAATCAAAGTACTGCACGCCCTTAACGGTGCGAAACTTCGCGGCGGTCTTCAGCGGATAATCGGCGATCGGATCGCAGTGTTCGGCTTTCGTGACTCGAATCGTCTTCGGCAGAGTCTGGCAGCACTGAAATTGGAACGAAGTAACTCAAAATGAAACGTTTGTTTATGCGTTTTACTACTTACTGTCGCGAATGTTAGTATGAAGAGGATTTCCCGGATGGTGGTGGTCATGTCGCTGCTAAGAGATGCGATTATGCAATTACTCCGGATCTGTTGCGCGTTTTTAAGTACGGTTCGTGTGGACCGGATGGGAAATCGTTGGATCGAGGAAACGGAAATTGCCGGCAGTTATGCGGTTTTCTCTATATATCGGCCTATGCAAAACGAGGCAATTAACGTATTTTTTTTTGTTGGTTGTTGTTTATAATTGTTTGTTTTGTTTGTCAGTGTGCCGCTTTTCAAGAATTTACCAGGAGATACTCTGATCAAAATATCGGATGTGCTGGAGGAGGTGTCGTACTCGAATGGAGAGTACATCATAAGGCAGGGCGCCCGCGGAGACACGTTCTTCATCATCAGCAAGGGCCTGGTGAAGGTGACCATGAAGCAGCCGAACTCGACGGAGGAGAAGTTCATCCGGACGCTGAAGAAGGGCGACTTCTTCGGAGAGAAGGCGCTACAAGGGTAAATTATACTTATTTCTGTCTTTAGTCGATATTGACGCGATATCGTTTTGCAGAGACGATCTTCGAACGGCGAACATAATTTGCGACGATCCGGAGGGTTCCACCTGCCTGGTGATTGACCGCGAGACCTTCAACCAGCTGATATCCAATTTGGACGAGATCAGGACTAAATACAAGGACGAATCCGCCGACAGGCGAAGGTACGTTTATTTGATATCTCCAATTTAACACATTTCATTTTATTAATAACCCCCTAACGTTTTGTAAATGCTACTTGAAATGCATTGGAGATTCGGTGAGTTTGTCGTTGCCTTTAGAATACGTTTGTTAATATGTTGTTGTTGTTGTTGTGATTTAGGATAAATCAAGAATTCGAGGCGGTGAAGCTGTCGGATCTGCGAATATTGAAGACACTTGGCGTCGGTGGTTTCGGTCGGGTGGAGCTCGTGCAGATCCACGGCGACGGGAACAGGTCGTTCGCGCTGAAGCAGATGAAGAAGGCGCAGATCGTGGAGACCAGGCAGCAGCAGCACATCATGTCCGAGAAGGAGATCATGGGCGACGCGAACTGCGAGTTCATCGTGAAGCTCTTCAAGACGTTCAAGGACAAGAAGTATTTGTACATGCTGATGGAGAGCTGCCTGGGCGGAGAGCTGTGGACCGTTCTCAGGGACAAGGGACACTTCGACGACGGCACGACGCGCTTCTACACGGCCTGCGTGGTCGAAGCCTTCGACTATCTGCATTCGCGCAACATCATCTACAGGGATCTGAAGCCCGAGAACCTGCTGCTCGACGTGCAAGGGTACGTCAAGCTGGTGGACTTTGGGTTCGCGAAGAAGCTGCAGAGCGGCCGCAAAACGTGGACGTTCTGCGGGACGCCCGAATACGTGGCGCCCGAGGTCATCCTGAACAAGGGCCACGACATCGGCGCCGACTACTGGTCGCTCGGTGTCCTCATGTTCGAGCTGCTCACCGGGACGCCGCCCTTCACCGGCGCCGATCCCATGAAGACCTACAACATCATCCTCAAGGGGATCGACGCCATCGAGTTCCCGAGGAACATCACCAGGAACGCGATGGCTCTGATCAAGAAACTCTGCAGGGACAATCCGGCCGAGAGGCTCGGATACCAGAAGGGCGGCATCAGCGAGATCCAGAAGCACAAGTAGGTTTCACCAAATCTAAATATCCTCAACACAAACATGCTAATTGTTATTATTTGCAGATGGTTCGACGGTTTCAACTGGGAGGGTCTGTGCAACAGAACTCTGGATCCGCCGATCTGTCCGCAAGTGCAGCACGTGACGGACACCTCGAACTTCGACGAGTATCCGCCAGATAACGACGGACCACCGCCAGACGACGTTTCCGGTTGGGACGCGGACTTTTAATTGCGTACTCGCACCAGAAATACGCGGTGCGCGCGGACGAAACAAACAAAATGATGATTACGGAGGAGGAGGAGGCTGTGGAACAAACGACGATCGAAAAAAGGAAGCGTGCAATCTCACGAAAAATACATGACACACTTGGATATTCGGAGAAGCGGAGCAAACAAATTCCCTGAATATATATATACATATACATATATATAGATTTCCGCTATCTGATAATGTAAATAATGATAATCATATTCTAGGTGTAACGATGTGCCATTAAGTCTTAAGATTTTCGTTTATTGTTTTTTTTGTAATTATTTGTTAAATCGGGACCTTCCGTTCGTTTTCGTTTCGTTCACCTCTAAGTGCCTTCGACTATATAATGTAAATATTAAATAATATTATTTTTTTTTTTAATGATCGCTACCCTACAATATAAATATGTATACACATAGGAGAATTTAACACTTTAATAATACGAAGAAAAAGTTACCTAATGTTAGTTTAAATAATTGTTATCGGTTTAATGAGTCTAAATATCTCTCTCTCTCTCTGTCTGTCTCTCCTACTCAAACGATGCGTCTATCTATCATCTGTTAAATTAAATTAATTTAAATTAATCGTAGCTTTAGTTAGGATAAAACGTCGTCGGCAATATTTTATAATTTTTAAAATTTTATCTTCCTGTTTCAATGTTTACTTTCGTATACACTTTACATATTATTTTAACTAATTTTATTACTGCAATTATATATATATATATAGATATATCATATACGATAATGTTACTTTATTATAATTACTACTATCGCTATTATTATTATTATTCAATTGTTGCAAAATTTACTGTATCTTTTGAAGCCTTATTAAGGTTCACTCTATATTTTATTTTATTTTTTGTTTTCATGTGTGTGTATGACTAGCGAGAGTTCGAATCGCCGTTCGATCTCGGCGTTTCCAATAAGACAAATAAACTACTTTTTAAGGAATAATCAAGAGCTCGTGTATCTTTTTGTTTCTTCATCTGAATCTGTACCTAGATTAGATTATTTGCAAATCTCCATGGAAACGGGAGAGGGGAGAGAAATTGAAAACGGATCAAGAAGCAGCAGCAGGTTTGTCGTAAAATATTTTATTTAATCGATAAAAATATATATAATCAGCACAGTTCAATATATATCTATACGTATTTATAAATATACATACACAATAATAGTAATCGTCCTTACAAAAAAGAAAAGAAAAAATTATAAATATAAACTTAATATTTTGTTTTTTTTTTAGTTATTTGTAATATTAAATCAGGAGCAAATAATAATTATAATAAAAAAAAGATATCAATAATCATACGTAACTTAAAGAGAGAAAATAGATATATTTTATAGAATATATAGAGAGAGAGAGAAGAAATTATAGAGTTTTGGGGGCGTGTTCTGCATGCGTGATCGGTGCGACAAACAAAACGACCCGGCGATATAAAGAACTTAAGTAAGTATACTTGGTTGCCTACGTCAACTCATATGTATAAATTTTGTGTAGTGGTGATCGGTGTTCCGTGTTTTCTTTTTAAATTTAGGAACGATCATCGGTCATCTCGAGGAACTGGGCGCTGACCTCCCTCGTCGCATCGCCCTTAACGTTGAAGATGAATTTGTAGTAGCATCCGTCCGCGCAAACCACTGAAACAAACGACACATAAACAATTGGTTGTTTGTGAGAGGAGCGTCGACCAATGGGAGATAGCCGTTGCGCGTCCAACGGTCGCCGATTGGCCAGCACATTCAGTTGACGCTCACCGATGACGGAGTTGTTGTCGGTGCCGAAGGCGCAGATGCACGGAGGTCCGCTGGGCACGGTGAACTTGCAGAAGGACCAATTGGAGGAGAAGTACTTGGGCAGAAAGGCGGCGTTCGCAAGAGACGACTGCTTGTTCAACTTGGGGTCGTCCAGAGCGAAGATGTGAACGGTGCCGTGATCGGACGACACGCACAGGCACGTCGACGTATGGTTGAAGTTTATGCAGTAGATCGTTGCCTTGGTAATAGAAACAAAATATGTTTAAACAAAACAATAATGTACAAAGCCGGCTACACGACTTGTAACTTGTCGCGCACAATATTTCAAATTATTTATATTTTTAGCAAATATACGAACCTGATGGGTGCCGCGTCGCAGCTCAGCGATTTTGCTTCCAAAGACTGTGTCGAAAACGCGAATGAGAGTGCCCTTTTCGCTGGCCGTCGCCAACCTGGTGCCTTGCAGATTGAGCGAGATGCAGATGACGTCCGCCTCGTGAGCGGCGATGTCCAGGGCCGGCTTCTCCGTGTTCGCGAGATCGACGACCTGCACGTGCCCGGTCTTCCGGCCGGGGAACGCGAGCAGCGAGTTGTTGCTGTTCGGACAGAGAACGCACAGCCCTCTCGGATTGCTGCTCGTCTCGAAGACGTGCAGCTGCTGCGGATTCTGCGTGAAGGTAAACACCTTGATCACACCCTCTGCAAACGATAAATAACAACATGAACAAATAATTCGCAGCTGATCGATTCGATGACTTACCCAAAGCCACGACGATCCTGTCGCGACGCAATTTCACCGCCAGAACAGGTGAGCTGAAATCCAACGTGAAAGATATCTTCTTCTGCTCATCATCCCACACCATGATCTTCTCGGGTGGATGGGCAGGATTGCTGCCATCTCCGACCAGAGCCAGATAGTTGCATCTGAAGAGCATCTCCACGTAGCCCAGACCACCGCAATCGAAATCCCTCCTCCTCTCCTTCAGCGGATCGCATATGTATATCCTGAACCCGGAGGAGGTGCCACACGAGAAGCAACCTGCAGATGTGATAAGGTATTAAAACTAAACACAATCATTTATCTCCACTAACCATGATCTTGATTGAAGCCGGCGTATAGGAGTCCGTTAGTCCGAGGGTTATCTTTAAAATTCATTGCTGCTACTGTTGTTGTTGTCTCCTATTCAAATCATTCCTCTTGAACGAAATGAGAAGACTGTTTTGACTGGTTTCGACCACCACCAAAATAAGTCTGTTATTGACACTGACCTAACCTAGGCGACAACTGTCACAGCTGAAACGGTTTCACTCCGATTCGAACGAGAAACCCGCACCTCGAGTCGCACGATTCACGACACGCGCAGACAATTAATTGAAATCCACGTAAGTAAATCGTTGTTCTTCAATTACAATCGATAACCGATTACGCGCCGGTTTAATAATCGCCCATTTCGAATTTCGCGCTACGATAAACGTCAAATCGATAATGTCACAGTTATATAACATCCTAGCACTTAAGATATTTCCAATAATCAATAATAGATTAATCATCAATCATATAAATAATCGATAAAACAATTGAAAAATAATTGCGCGAGCAAAAAGAGTTGCATACATATCAAATTGTACTTTCATAATTTACAAAATTTAGGATCAAAGTTTCAAATCAATTTACTAATTCGTTACGCCTTAAATAATCGTAAAGATGTCTTAAGTTTTAATAATTGCAAATGTGTAAATTATGTTGCATATCCAAATTCAAAAATTTGAATTTTTCAGCGGAAATTTGAAATTATTTAAAGAAAGTTTTCGCTAACGTTTATTTAATATCATCCTTAGTACTAATGTTAAATTCTTTTCTTCGATAATCATATTTGTTAAAGAGGGAAAAAAATTAATATTTAAAAAAAAAAATCTCTTTTTGTAAATGTAAGTAGAGCGACAAAAATAGCTCTGGAAGAATTTCGAAAGCGCTACCAATCAATTTCAATAGAATTCAAGTGTTGTTTTGTTCACTGTCTTCTTTTGTGTTATTGTACGTTCATTTCCATTTAAACAATGTAATTTTCTGGTTTTTCAGTGATCTCCGCGGATGGAGCTGGCTTGACGGTGTGACTGTAGCCTCCGTTGGATTTGACGACCAGAGTCAACTTCTTGTCGATGCTTCTGGTGTACTTGATGAGCATGATGTTGTAGGCGATCAAGCACAGCATGAAGCCCTCGAACCCTGCGAAAATGTAAGTTATATAATCGATTCTCGCCTTAATATCATTAAATTATTGAATTGTGTGATTTACAGATGTTGATGCGCCTGGTGAGAAAATCGAAGTTGGAGCAACGTTCCACGAAGACGACGAAGAGGATCATGTAGATAATGTTCGTGCCGGAGTAGATGATCCAGGCAAGCAGCGCTTGCGGGTTTACGGTGAAGAGACCGTAGAGGAGGATGATGCAGGCGAAGGTCAGCTGAGTGCTGAAGCCGGTGAAGATGATGCAGATCGAGGAGAAGACTGTTGCAAGATGAGTAATTCAATTAAGTTTCAAATTTTTATTTGTAGATCGCGCATAAATCACCTGTTTCCTGGTCCAGAGATAGTTTGAGCTTCTCGATGTTGGCCGCTGAATGCTTCTTGTCGATCACCCCCATCTGCTCGGCGATGTCCTCGCGCAGCAGATCCCACACGGTGATGGTCTTCATCATCCCGATGATGGACAGCGTCGCTATCAGCCCAATCGCAACCTACGGAGAACAAGAAGTGGACAACGACGACGGTAAACATCGATCTAGTGACCTAGTAAAAAAAAGTGCGTGCTACTACTACTCACGAATATGAAGATGCCGAAGACGATGCACGATATCCTCAGCGCGTCCCATTTGGCTTTCTTCTGTTTCAGCTTCTTCTTCGTTATGGTAACCGGGACCATGTTCAGTTTCTTCGGCTTCGCCGAAAGCATCGAGAGGAGCTTCATGATCGCGCCTTCCTTCCTTTGTCGTCCAGTCGTCCGGGTCCACTGCAGCGAGCGAGCGTCGCGACGCCAGCGCACTCACGCTATAAAGCGGGTAACAACGCGTATCGATTTTAATACCAGGTAACCTTGCAATAATTTAAAAAAGAAAAGCAACAAACCACCAACATTTTCAACATTCAAACACACAACATAAACAGCAATCAACACATAGGCGATTCTAAAAGTTTTCATTTTTCTTACAAAACTTATTTAGTTTCTTTCGTCTTTCAATTCTAATATTGATCGATGGTAAATTTTAATTAATTATTGTTACTGATTGATTTTTTAATGTTTTCAGGTGAAACAAAGAGCTGACATTTCAACTCGGAAGCATGTTGAGTTGCCTAAAGTTTTCTTGCACTTCAAGAAATAAAGGTAAAGTATTACAATATTGTCGTTGGTTTCTTTCAAGTTTTTCTTTCATATTTTTAGGGTTCTATTACGAGGAGTTGTCTCTATTGGATATCAATTAAATGCTGAAAATGGTAAGTGTATTAAATAAGGAAAAACAGCCTTTTCATAAATTTATTGCAATTCAAATACATTTTTTTGGATCACACACACACATATATAAACATAAATATTTCTTCCGCATTTCCATTCGATGACCGAAAAATTCGGTGCAGAGGCGACGTTTCGAGCAACGTTGTTGTTGTTGTTGTGATACTCTACTTAAAGCGTTTCGTGGGATTGGTTCCAAGTTTCGTCGTAGTACATCACGACTGTTCGAGCGTCGAATTCTCGAAACGACAACGTTTGCTCGTAACGTTCATCACTTTGTTTTGCAAGTATGTTATTGATATGGAGAAGATTGTAAAGAAGTTGTATTATTTTTTTTTTGGAGGTCATCGAGTGAGCGTCGGCTTGGTGGAAATGTGGGGAAGGTGTTTTGAAGGAGGGATTCGTTGCCGTTCTAAAATCTATCTTCTCGGAGGGATGAGTTTATAAAGGGGACATTCAGGTGAGACCTACGTTTTTTTCACTTTCGCTAAAGGAATTTGGGTGATTATTATATATAAATCAACGCCCACTATAAACGAAGGGGCGTGATTTCGCTATTCTCTTTTTTTCGTGTTTTCTTTTTTCATTTATTTTTTTTTTGTTTCTTTGCCATGGTTATCGTTTGCGTAGTCCTTGATTCGGTTGCGGTCGTTTTGCTATGATGATAATGATGATGATGATGATGCTTAAAAAGCTACATCTTCTAGACCTTTCTCCCTCAACCTCTTGTCGCTCATAAATTTTCGTATGCTGATGTACAGGGGTTTTTCGCGGCTGTAGGCGAAGATGACGAAATGGATGAGGGCGAAGGACATGGTCTGGTGCCAGCTGCAGATGGAGAGTACGAGGTTATTCTTGGTTCCTTCTAATAACATCGAGGAGCATTGAGGGAGTGGCCCGTCCTCCTGGAATTGTTCGCAGTGTTTGAGGAGGGAGGCGAAGAACATTAAGTAGATGATGTTCGTGATGGTGTAGAATAGCCAGTCGATCATCGTGTATGGCGTTCTAATTAGGTTACCGCAAAAATTGATGAAGCCGACGATGGTGACGAGCAGCGAGAGCAATGTCAGGAACAAGTCGATGTAAGAACGCACATCAGCTGAAATGGCGGGTAAGTTCGCTGTAACAAGAATAATAACAATAATGCTAAATGTATGATGTTTGTATGCGTGCGTGCGTGCGTGCATAACATGAGAGAAAGTAGCAACCTGTTAGTTGATTGATGTACTTATCTATGGTATCCTCGTTCGTCTTAGTGTCGGGGAAGTCATTGTCGTGGAGGTAGCAGATCCAGGAGATCATTAGCATACAGACCATCCAACCGAGTATTTTAAACGTGCGGATCTGCAATGGAGATATGGTTTTCCATCCAGCTCTCTTCAGCTGATACTTACCATAATCGTCAATCCGGCCAAGCTGGTGGAAGTGGAGAAGATTCTCATGGTCCTGAACTCTTTTGGCGGTTTCTGCAGCGGATCAAAGAGCAGAAATTTCTTCATGGTCGTTTATTCTGCTGACGTGGGGTGTTGTTCGTGAAGACGCTTTGAAGAGAGTGATGATCGTCTGCGTCGGGGGGTGTTCGCGCCAAAAGTGAACTCTCCGGTTCTCGTCCCGAACACTGGGAGGAGGCTGGCTGGAGATGCAGTTGCGCATCGCCGCGATGCTGTAACCTGTTGACACAACACTACCCCCCGCGGTGGTCACCACCACGGAGAGGGTGTTAGAGAGAGAGAGAGAGAGAGAGAGAGCGTATGCGCACTATTCAATTGCAACCGGAAATAACAATATCCGAGTTGAGCTGGTCGTCGTCGACAAGACCACCACACTCAACAGCATCATCGATGAAACATACCTCTCTCTGCCAATCATCGATCGCCTCTTCCCCACGCAACTGCTGCTAGGCAACACAAAATATCGCATCGCCCTTCAAAAACAGATTCTAACTATATCAATAGCATTAATATCTAATTATTATTCCCAGTCATTTTTTGCAAATCTCTCTTTTCTACCTTCTAGCAATTATCTTTCATTCGCTCGACGGTAATAGTTTTTCTCTTTGTAAAGCTCTTTCTATTATCATAGTCTGCAGTTTGTCGTTAATTCGGCTGCACTGCACTGATGAGCCCCAATTTAGGGCGAAACTATGAACAATCAAATCTACATTTGATGAAGCAAAAATTCCTCAAATTCCACACATTCCACAAACGTCAAAAAACAAAAATTCCAAACATTCCTCACATTCCAGAAACGTTAAAAAACAAAAATTCCAAACATTCCACACATTCCAGAAACGTCAAA